GTGTGATTATAGAAGTCTGAGGACTTGCTGCTCAAGTGCTATCCACCTTGTTTTTGAGACAGGGTCTCTCATTGGCCTGGAACTCCCTGAATAGGCGAGGCTGGGGGCCAATGACCTCTAAGGACCCTCTAGGAATCTTCTGTTTGCCACCGTGCCTGGCTTTTTTAAAAAATATAAGTTCTGGGGGTCACACTCAGGTCCTCATGCTTAAAGGTAAGTACTTCACTGACTGCGTTGTCTCCACCCTGGAACTTACTTTTAAAAGCCACATAAAATCACTATGTACCTGAGTAGAATTAACTTCCCGGCACTCAGCACTCTGCCACAGCCTGCCTGGTAGACGTGGGCCGGGCATAAGACTGTTGGAATCTTGATTTCCTCCTTGGAAAAGGAGAATCTGAGAGCTGTAACTGACGAGGGTAACTGTTGAGAGGAGGTGTCATGGATGGTACTCAGCAGGGCTGGCACAGGGTCCCCACTCTCCAGGCACCAGTTCCCACAGGCCTGACTTCCTCTTTCCCACTCAAGTGGATTCCCCACTTGTTTCTTCTCCCTCAGCAGTAAAGTCAAACAGGACAGTCATGTTCTCATCTCCTCCCCCCAAATACTGGACATCACACTTCCTGTACTACCCTAGCTCTGCCAGTGAGAACAGCAGCTAGTCCCACTGGAGTTCCTGATGGATGCTGCACTTTAAGTGTGACTTGCTGAGCATAGCTGGTAGCCATGTCTCCACCTCACAAGAAAGAGCAGGACAGGGGCTAGCACCACAGGGCCGACCTAGGCCCAGGAACTGTTCCAATTGCCTTTCAGGTTCGGCTATGGCTTTATTTTGAACTATTTCCCCCAGTGTTCATGCGTTGAAGATTTGGTCCTCAATACAGCAAAGTCCCAAAGCTGGTGTTTTGGGAAAGTTATTGCATAATGGATGTTCTGGCCTCATCCAAGGGCTACTCTATTGATGAATGATTGGAAGAAGGTATAAAGCCTAGTTGGGGTCACTTGGTTAGGTCAATGGAGGCATGCTCTTGAGAGCGTGTATCTTGTTCCCTAGTCACAACCTGTCACTCACTTGCTTATTCTCTCTGCTTCCTGGCCACCCTGCAGAGAGCAGCGTTCCTCCACCCCACCTTTCCGCCATGATGTCCTGCCTCACCCAGGCCAACGGATAGAGCTGAGGGACCCTGAGCTGAAACAGTGAATCAGGTTAAACATTTCTTCTTTAAGTTATTTGCTTTCTAGTATTTTGTGACAGGGATGGGAAGCTAACACCACTGAACCAGGAAGGAACATTTTTATTTATAAATAAAACATTAATATTTTTAGTTCATTTCCAGATGTGGGACATATCTGTTTCTGGTAGCTAATTACCTAGTTTACAGAAACAAGCAAAACCTAGCTGTGGTGCTGAGAGGTAAAAACCTCGGCCATTATCCAGCTCTACAGAGAATTCCAGTAGCATGTGATTAGCTCTAGAGGAGGCCAAGACACGTTTACACAGATGGGTAAAAACATCCTGTAACAGCTGTGTGGGTGCGGGGGCATCCCAATATGATTGCCATCACCTGAGATGGAATGAACCTCACCCACAATCAGCTTAAGATTTCGAGGGGCATCGAATGCTAAAAAGGCTTCTCAAGATAATTTAGACAACACAGAAAGAGGCTGTGAGAAAATGAGGATGCTAAATAAGTTTGTGGGGTTCCCCTGCTTAATTACTAGGCTACTCTTTTGAGTCTATAAATATCAAAATGCCTCACAATTTTTCCTTAATTGCTTGCTCTCTTTCTCACTGTAAGGAACTTCAAAGTCAGCTCAAGACACCTCAAGACCAAGTCTACCACAACTCTCATCATCTGATTAGTTAGTAGATCTGCCAACTGAGAACTAAGTCTTCAACACATAAGCCTTTGGGATAGTCTTCATACCAGACCAAGATAGTAACACAGCTACTTTAGTTTTTTCAATGCTCTTCTATACTTTGCATGAATATCGTTAAAATTTTAAAATATTTGTGTGTGGGGGGGGGGTTGGTGTACATGCATGCCACAGCATATGTCTGGAGGAGGTCAGAAAATAACTTCAGGTGTTGGTGTGTTGGTTATCCCCTTCCACCAGGTGGGCACCAAGAATTGAACTCAAGTCACCAGGCTTGTTGGTAGGTGCCTTCACCCACTGAACCATCTCACTGACCCATGAACCCCCTCTTCACTGTTCCAATCATGGTGCGTGTCTGCAGTTCTTTTTATGTAACTCTGGCTGTCCTGAAACTCGCTTTGTAAACCAGGCTAGCCTCGAACTCACAGAGGTTTGCCTGTCTCTGCCTCCCGAGTGCTGGGATTAAAGGTGTGTGTAGCCACATCCTATGCCTGCAGTTCTTTTAATAAAACATTTCTCCCACATTGTCACTCTTAACAACTCCCCCTTCTGTTCTGCAAATTAGGAGAACTCAATTGCATTCTATTGATGAGACATTCATGTTTCCAGACTGGTTACGGAGCTGGTGATGACAGCAGACAGTGTTTTGGTAATGCCAACAGTGTTTCCACGGGAGAGCAAAGTTCTGTGCCCCTGCCCCTCAGCCTAGACACTGTCCAGACTCTGCTGATGCCCCGGATGTGCATGTCTGAAGCCCGCTGGTGGTGGCCACACCTGCCACAGGAGGAGTTAGCAGCCCCAGGAGTGGCTCCTGTAGTAAGGGGGACTGTATGAGACAGAGGGGAGAGGGCAGGGCTTAGACTCTCCCTTGATGTAAACATGTCATATCTCTGAGTGTGTTCACTTGACCTGAACAAATCCAGCCTAAGCCCGGCACGGAGACCTGTGGGAACTGCTTCCCTGCACAGCCTGGGGAAGTGGAAGTGCTTTCCAGAACAGCAGCAGAGAGAATAGTGATCCAAGTGTGCACATTGTCTTGTTAGCCAAGACATGTCTACAGCGGAGCAGAACAAACTGTAAGGATGGGACCCTGTCAGATGCGGAAGACCACACTTGTCCTGTTTGGGACTTGAGGCTCCTATGAGTCAACCCGTCACTCCACCAGTGGGGAAACTGGTATCAGATGGCAGGGTGACAAGCCAAGAGCGCAGTTTGTTACTGGTGGAGCTGGGGTGGGAACGCAGGCCTCTCCCTGGCTGCTTTACTATTCCCTCTGTTCTGGTGGAGTTCATGGTCTGCTGCTTACTTCGAAACTAACCTGCCCACCATACCTATTAAACACGGGCAGGCCAAGCAGAAAAGAACTTCCCCAAGGGCACGGTGTGTCTGTTTGGCACCAAGTATTTCTTCAGAAAGCCTCATGTTTACTCCTTCCATTTAGGTGCTTGCATCCCAGGACTCTGGAGTCAGGCTGACGGGCCTCACGTGTCCAGGGGGCCATCATAGAGAACGGCAGGAAGACTGCTAGAGCAAACAACTGTATCCCCATCCTCCAGCCAGGAGTGTGGACTGAAGGAAGTCGGCAGGTGCGTTCCAGAGCTGCAGTGCACATGTGGGGTGTGTGTG